ACACTTTTTGTGACGTACTAGTATTCACTAAATACTACTACAGGTCATAGTGCTAACAATTTAGGTCCATATTGTGCCCTTCTCAACATCAAGCACTTTCTATTACTAAGGTAACAAAGTCTTTCACTTGTCAAGCACAAAATCCAAACCAATCAATTAAAAATAGTACTACTATTTTTCAACTGAACTGTCCACCAGAATACTATGTGTGGGGGCAACATCTACATCAAATACAGGTCATAGTGCTTGTACCAATGTGGGTGTGTCCACATTCTTGTCCCAATGTCACCACCTGTCAGTGAGATCATCAAAGTGTTTTATTCATCTATCAAGAAATCCAGATCAATCAATTCAAAAATAGTAGTACTACTACTACTATTTTTTCAACTGAACTGTCCATCAGAATACTAGTAAGTATTGGGGAAATATCTACACCAAATCATACAGATCACAGTACAACTAGCAATGTAGATCAACATTGTCCCAATGTTCTCTTAGAATCTGTATTTGGGCAGCCTGTAGAACTACTAGTTTGTAGGAAATGTTTTTGTATTTGTATTTGTACTCAAATTTGAGATATGCATCACATAACATTTCCAGAAGCAAGAAGAGACCAAATATTATAGAAAAAACCTTACCTCCTGTTGGGCATCAATACCCTCACTGGAAGAGATGATCACAAGAAATCCCCTCCCAAAAAGCTTGAATTAACACACACTGTTGGAACAAATCCCAGTATACCAATCACAGCTGGTGGCTCAGTTGAAAAAAGAAAAGAAAATCTGATGTGGTAATGAAAGAGGCACTATACTTTTGTAGATATTGTTGGACAAATCTGAGGGGAAAGGGTTTTGTAGGGACCATCAAAGAGGATCCTAACAACACTTCTGTTGTCCAGAGAGCAAGAATTAAGTACTCCTGCTCTGGCTAAAAAAAACATGTTGCAGCCTCTGGCCAATGTCAATGTTTTTGAATAAAGGAAAAAACTATTGGTGCCTGTCTTCTTCCCCAAAGGTAGAGCCAAAGAATATAGAAGCAATTATTCATAGCCCATTTGAACTAGTAGGAGGACTGCTGACAACCATGACAGGGTGTAGTCCCAGAAGGCAATACCATTAACATTGCTCTTGGCACCCTAGGTTTTGAAAGACACCAGGTAGTTCAAAATCTGCTCCAGCCTAGCAAGAATGACCAGAAAAGCCATTACGGGTGTGGTTGGTGCTGGGGGAGCCAGTGATATCATTATTGCAACAAACATAACTTCCTGTGCTGCACCAAGCAATGAAGGAGGATGTGACAAGAAGGATGGCCTACTAGTACTACCACCACCAGCAGATCAGGATGATGATGAGATAGATAATGCTTCTTTAGTCAACAGCATGGATACTTGGGAAACAGAGAACAGGCAGCAGAATTGTGTACACCAAACAGGGGAGCGTAAAGCAGAGCTAGAGTTGATTAAAATGCTAAAGGATCACAAATGTCCACTTCTCCTGCAAGAAAAGGCTTTCAACTGGGCTAGAAGAAATGCTGTCACCCATAGTGTTTATTTTTCTAAAGACAACACTCAAAAGAGAGAAACAATAATGAAGGATGTCATACTAAATAAGACTAAGACAGCAACAAAATTCTAGTGCCAATCATTCTCTACATGGATGACATTTCTTTGGACAAAAGAAATCAGCTGACCCTGTGCCCCTTGAACATCATGTTAGGAATTTTCAACATTGGAACAAGAAGCAAACTGCATGTCTGGGCAACAATATATTTCCATCCTGATGGGACACAATCAGGGGCAAAGCCAACTCCCAGAAAAAATACAAAACCTACATAATGGAATCAAGGCCAGCACCATCAAACCCTTTAAAGACCTATGCAATCATAGTAGAAGATGGATCCAGTGGAACTATTCAAAATATGGAGGGGTTGCATGCCTTTGTGATAGGGACACAGAGCTCCATGATAAATTGTGTAGTAGATTTGGATCCTACAGTTCTGGGACAAAAAGTATTTGTTGGCAATGTGGCTGTCCAATAGAAGAAATTATGAAACCAGAAGTTGTTTAATCCCATGAAAGTCAGTCTGTGGACGGCACCCAAAAGGCTTTGCCCCATGGTAGGGCAAGACAGAGAAATATTCTTCAAAAATGATTCTTATCATGATACTGCCAATATTTTTCATTCCCTTGACTTTGGATGTAACATTCACAATATCCATTTTGCTACCCCTGGGGATAATCTGCACACACATCAATTGGGAGTAGCAAAACATGCTACTATCAAATCATTCAAGGAACTTGTTGAAAGGACCACATGTACTAGTATCAAGAATAGGACTTTTAGGACAAAGTTATGGAGCTGATATAACAGACAATCTGACAGAAATTTCTCTGGTGGACTAAGTTTGGGCAGAATATTCTATATACAACAAAGAAGGGAGGACATGATTTTGTTGGCACTTTGCTTTGCATCATTTTGACTATAAATTCCAAGAGGCAGGGAAGAAAATATTGGACAGGAACTCTTCTTTTGTGAAGAAGCATCAAGGTTATTGAAATGATTCTGTCGATGGAAGAATTTCTCAAACATGGAAGAGTTACAGTGAAGCAGAGAAGAGGACTTGAAAAGGTCATGGAACGCTTTATTATACAAATAAATTATAAAATCTGTTTAAGATGTGGGAAGGGTAGTAGGTTAATCAAGAATCACCTGTACTTCCATTTGCATAAATATATTGAGCTCTGGGGACCAAAATGGATGGAATTCTGCTCCAAGTGAGGAGGCACACCATAAGATGGAGATCAAAGCACAACCCAAAAATACTACCCAGTGCAATGCATCAACCCTCATAGAGCAGACAGCAACAAGGTAACAATCATAATGTATGCTTCTTGAAATGGTTGGCATGGTTGGGGTTGTGGTAAAGAACAATGAGAGGAAAGGATGGGACTCAAACAACAATAGAATAGTGGGAGTGTAGTAGTAACAGGAAGAGGCAATTCTTGCCTTTCATTGTTTTGCAATATCGCTGTGTAAAGTCCTGTCATATCTGGAGAGTAAAGAAGGGGTTTGGGGATTTACTAACCACCACCAATTTGATGATGGAGATAGTAGTCATTACTTATTTTGTTCAAATCCATCCTTCAGAACAGTCAATGGTCAGAATAATGGTACCTGCTGCTGGATGGATTGTGCAATATTTTGATATGATACTGGAAACTATCCAAGTCATATAACATGTTTCAAGTTCAGAAATGGTTTGGACAAAAACATTCTGGAGGCAGAGGGAAAAGAGCCAACACTGGAGGATAATGGTATTTTGCTGTTGCCCAATGCTTTAAAAAGGAACTGGAACCAACCCCATGCACCTTCATCCACAAAGGGGCTCTGGATGAAATCAAGTTTTACATGATAGTGCTCACAGAAAGCATCATTTCAGAGAATGTTGTAGTAGCAAATAGAGAAGTTGAGGATCATGTCACTATTAAGGAATGGTTTGTTATCTCCAATTGCAAAACACCATGGTGGTTGGAAAACTTCAGAAGAAACAAAGGTGATTGGAAAAAATATCTTTATGGATTTCATGATGGTTCAATCTATGTGGCTTACCAACACTAATGTGTAATTAGATAAACAGAGAGTTGACTGGCTGACCACTGGTGGCCAGAGGCACAAAAATAACAAAAGGATAGAAAGTAAGTCATTCCTTTGAAAGGAAGAAGGAGGTTCAGGGAAGAAGGTGCAGAACCAGTTGCCTCCTGTCAAGATTTGTGCTTGGCAAACAACTCCAATGTCAAGCACATTTTAGAGTGAAGTCAAGCAATCTGGATTATCAGCCTGGTTGTGCCTGCCTGGTACCTGCCAAGAAACATGAGAGCAAAAGACCTTTCATGGCACCATGTGTAAATATGTCAACTAGTAAATGTTCATCCAGGCCCAACTGACAGTCCACCACCAACAAAACTCTGGTTTGAAAATAACCTAGCTTCTGCATCATCAACTCTACCATATCTACCATTTTGAATTGGTTGTCTTTTGTTTTAAGGTCGTTGTTTTGCTCAAGACATCCCTTAAGAAACCAATCAAAGTATGTCACTGGCGGTGTGATGCCTATGGCATATAGGAAAGTTCTTAATTGAAAAGGTATTAGTCAGAGCTGACTGACATGTATTGCTTTCAAATTGCTCAAACTGTTGAACACTAGTACTAGTAGCCTAGTACTAGTAGTAGTATACTTTTCAATGGTATCTTTTGGCCACCAATTTGAGATGAGCCAGGTAGTAGTAGGAGTACTACTGAAACATTCTTGTGCTGGTGCTGGCCTGGACAGTCAGTGGTATTGATAAGTTTGTAGTACACCTGAGGGACAGGTTGATAGCCACCAAGTAGTAGTAGTAGTGAGGATAGATAGTACTACTTTGGATATGGAGGAGGATACACACAAGGACAACTAGTACTAGCTGCTGGTGTGAAGGAGCAGGAATTGATAGGCAAATTGTGATGACGAAAATACCACAGCAGACTGGCTCCTGTATTTGCTGACAAGGAGACTGGCTTTGTGAAAATCTGAATCTTAGTAGTAGTACTACTACTATTGTTAGCGTCACTGCTGTAATCTTGTGACGGAATGGGGGCTACTAACTTATGATGGGATTACAAATTCCGAAAATGGGGGGAAAAGATGTACTTTCAGTAAACATAGATGAGACAAAGGAATACGACTAACTCGATCAGTATACGACTAAGCGTTGGATCGTTTGAACAGGCAGTCACACACTGTTTTTTGTCGACGACCACGACTGGAATGCCGAGCCGTACGTACCGTAGTACTTTACGAAGTATGAGTACCAGCTACGCTAGCTACGAGTAGTTCTCCTCACAGCTTGTATCCGCAACTTACCTGTCAGGCGTTTTATGGAATTTTTTTATGACCTACCGTACGTACCGTATCATTGCTCGTACCCGAATCTGATTCTGAGTGAAGCCGCCATGTCTAATCGGCAGAAGAAATCGATTGGGGTCAAAAGCGCTCAGGGATTTTCAATGCATCGAAAGGCATCGAATCGAACACAGCGCTCGTTCCTAATGAGATTACCTTTAAATGACACCGCCTTAGCAAACAAAGGAGCGTGTCATAGAAATGGGACGTTTTCGACCGCCATCGTTTTCGTCTTTGAATCTTCGAAAGCCTTTCTTCTTTTGTTTGGTGCTGCTCTACCAACGGAGTTGTCTCGTAGACGCTAGGTCGTGGAGTGATATCCTCAGTCCGTCTCTCAACGACGCAAGTTATGATGGGAAGCACCACGGGCATCTACGCAACAAGCATTATCGTCCGGGAGAACTCAGCTTTGAAATAGAAGAGGATCCGTTTTACTTTCCCCCACCAACGAAAACTAATCAACCCAACCAGAGTCAAAAAGAAGCACGGAGAAAGAAGAACCCGTTCATAAACAATAGAAAGGACGACGAAATAGCGAACGCTGCTACCACTATTACTATTACACAACAACAACTCCAAGCCACAAAACCAAGAATACCGAAAGAAAGAGAACACGAGCAACTATTTTCCGGCAACATATTTGTCCACGAAAGCAACAAAAGAAAAACAAACAAGGAAGATGCAAGGGCTCCTGTGGAAAATATTCTTTCTAAAAATCAAGGAGACAACAACCTTGGTAGTAATCGCAGAAATAAACGATCTTCTAGCAGTATTTCGAGGGTCTTCGTGATGAATCCGACGGAGTCACTTGCCTCGGTATTGCCGACGGAAGACTATCGCGAAAAATCGCTACTTGTTGACTCTTTTACTAGAACTGGAGCCGCTGCAATTCCTTTTGACGCAAACGACGACGCAGATCGTGATGCAGAAAATGATTCAAAACACCCGACTGTTTATTACGACTATCCGGAGCACTCGGTGACACCGTTGAACCCCCCGCTCTCCTATTTCAATTACGATACCTCGAGTGACTCTAGAAACGGACCAGGAACTCTTGTAGTATCTTACTCGACTCATCAGAACGAATTCGTTTCGAAATACGGGAACAACGCGTGGGCGGATTCCTACCAGCCGCCTCCCCCAGTTGATCCAAACATTGCCGTAGCCATGGCGAACCGCCTTAGCTACGAAACAAACGATTCGAATTCCTATTCGACTTCATATTATTACTGGGATGAGTTTGGTCCCGAAGGATACGGATTCGGTCCCTGGAAAGGGACACTCACGGGAAGGAAACTGCGGACCAAAAATCAGTGTGGGAACGTCGGGAGGCAATCCCCCATCGACATCCGCCTCACCGGGGTGGCTTGCCTCGAGCACCATCAGATCCGCACCCGGAAGGGCGATTTCAAGCTGAAACAGCACCGTCCGGAGCACTCCAACCTCAAGCTTTCCATCCTGCCCAGCAAGCTCCGGGTGTGGTTCCAGCGGCGGCCGTGCTCCGATCTGGAAAACCCCGTCTGCAGCGAGCCCGATCCGCCCCATGCCGACTTCCCGCATGGGTGGGGTGGTTTTGCCGACGTCCTCCACGTGGATTTCAAGTTTCCCGCGGAGCACACGATTTACGGCCAAACCTTTGACGGCGAGATGCAGATCTACCACCTGCACCCGGGAAGGAGGCGGCTGCCGGTGGTGAGCGTCCTAATGAAAGTGGCCGGGGATGACAACGGCGATGGAAACAACGATGACGGGCACAACGAGTATCTCCAGCGCATTCTCGACGGGTTCCAGTACGAGTACGACACGAACAGGGCAAAATGCGCCATCGCCGCGATCGACGCGGGGCACCGCCGCCGAAAACTACAGCAGCGGCAACACGGGGAGCCTGCAAGACCAGGGGGAGGGACACCAACAAAAGGGGACCATCGGGGAACGCAACAAGAACACGGGGGGGAAGAGACTATTTCGTTCTCTGCAGAGGGTTTCGACAGCGGCACAAACGCAGCAAGATTCCATGCAAAGGCAACAAAAGTTACTCCGGGACGAACGAATTTCGGGGCGGGGCACGGGAGCAAAGCCGCGAAAGGGGATAAGAGAACAAAACACCGAAACAAACAGCACGCACAGCGAGCCAGCAGTAGCCCCTTGTTCGAGCACGACGAGGATCACTTTTCGAACCTCTCGGGTCTCGAGATCCGTGCCAGCGCAGCCTTTGGTGGGAACCGAGAACGGCTCGAGGAATACGCCAGACTATTGTTGCCGAACAATGGAACTGGAAACGATGGCCATGGCCACTACGAGCACCAATCTAACATCAATGCAACCACAGATTTCACGATCCGGAGAGAAGCACACCGGCGCCGATTGTCGACGTCGCGGTGGAACCCCCACCACAGGTCACTGGTTCCTTCCTACTATTTCTATGGTTACGACGGATCTCTCACGGAACCCCCCTGTTCCGAGATCGTCTCGTGGTTCGTGATGGACGGTCCCCACATGGAGGTCTCCTTCAACCAGCTGGAGCAGGCCAAGGCGATCCTCTTTACCAACGTCGACGGGTCTTCCTGCAGAGAGACCAGCGTCCACTACCGAAACAGCGTGGCGCGGCCGATTCAGGACACCGGTCCGGACCGGGACGTGTGGCACTGCACCCGCGACAACTATGTCCCGGACAAGGAGCGGCAAGGGATGCACTAGGACGGTTTTAATGCACAAACGCGCCAGCAGGCACAAGCCCACGATGGCCAAGAACATCAAACACTAAAAATTGTAACACAATGTAATTTTATTAACTCTTCAGGCCTGCAGTGTTGTAGATACCAAAAACAGAGGGCAGGCAAAGAAAACATTTTCATCCTCTAGTCATCATACCTATCCCAGAGCAATTGAATTCCTACAATTGTAGTGTATTCCTATATGCTTGTTGCTATAGTCGGAATGCAACAATCTGGAAGCAACAACAACTCCACAACAAAAATGAATTTTTTGATACTGCGATGAAAACGAATATATCTGTCTAGCAGCAATGGAGGAGATACACTAACCAACAAAAAGAACAAGAAAATACGAAGAATCAATCACATAAAATCATAAGTACTACTATTCACTTGTGTGCAGAGTGATGAGCATCAGAGTGCTGTAGTATTCTGTTGTAGCAGAATAACTGCTACTAGTAGTTATTCTGTTATTATGAGCATCCTGCTGCTCGTGTTGCTGCTCGTGTTGCTGCTCGTGTTGCTGCTCGTGTTGCTGATTGTGTTGCTGCTGCTGCTGCTGCTACTACTGCTGCTACTGCTGCTACTGCTGCTTATGCTTGTTTCTATGGGAATGCCAATACTAATAGACTTCAGCAGCAAAGCATAAATGGCAGTTCTGATCTGTTGTTGGTGATTGTTTCAAACAATAATATACAAACGATCTGTCACATAACCAATGTATCATGATTGATTGAGTTGTTGGCAAAGTGATGGATGTGTATCAGAGTGTCGTACTACTAATAGTATTCTGTTGTGTTGTGTTGTATTTGTATTCCTAACAATTGCAGAGTTTTGACCTTGATCTCTTTGTTAGTCTTGATAAAATGTCTTGATAAAATAGAACATACCTGTCTAGCAGCAATGGAGGAGATAAAATAACCAACAAAAAGAATATGAAAATACAAGAAATCAATCACATAAAATCATAAGTACTACTATTCACTTGTTTGCAGAGTGATGAGCATCAGAGTGCTGTAGTATTCTGTTGTAGCAGAATAACTGCTACTAGTAGTTATTCTGTTATTTTGAGCATCCCGCTGCTGTTGCAATTGTTTATAGGATCACCAGTCCCAGACGTCACAAGATTGCACGGACCTGTTTCTGGTGGGAACCTTTCGAATTGGATCGTGCGAATGTTTCGAATCAACGAATTGCGCGTTGGTTGATTCGGACTCGGACGGACCGCTCTGCAGGACTCGCCTTTCTTCTTTGTTTTCGTCTTCGTCTTCTTCTGTTCGCAGCCGATGGTCTGTTGTTGCTTCGCTTGCATCGTACGGGTTCTTTCGGTTGTGTCGTTGGGGTTTGCCATTCTCTTGTCTTGTTTTGTTGGACGGGCACCGTGTTGATCCCTGCTGTGCTTGCGTTGCAGGACTTTTTCTCCTTCGCTGCTGGTTGGCTCGGCTCGTTGGGTCTTTCTCGGTCGGTTCCTGTTTCGTCGCCGTTTGTATCGTTTACTTTTTTTTTCGTTTTCGTCGTCGCCTTTCTTTTTCTGTTTCGGCCCTTGGCTCGTTGGCGGTGGCTTCCCGGTGGCGACGGTCCTTGGACCACTTCTTGGCCCGCTTGCGATCGCCCCCGGCGGCGGCGAGAAGGGCGATCTTGTTCCTCCGGTGTTCCTCCACGGTTTCCTCGTCCTGGCAGCGCAGAAAGACCTGCTTCTGGTAGAGCACCCCTGCCTCGACGGAGGGGTTCCACACCAGTGATTCTTCTGCTTCCCCTTGTGGCGTGTGTGCCGAAACGTAAAGCTCGCGCTCTCCGAAGAGCCAGTCCGTGTAGTCGTCGTAGCAGCGCATCCCGTCGGCGGGCTTGTTGACCTCGCAGAACAGGCGGTTGGCAAACCTGGTGTGTCCGGTGTTGCTGTTGCTGTCGCTGCCACCACCGGTGTTGGTCTCCCCCGGTTCGTGGTTCCGGAGGCTCTCCCCCAGCACCATGGCCAGCGGCAGGGCCTGGGTGAAGGAGGAGTACCTCGCGGCCACCAGGGCGTCGGCGGCCCCCAGGAGCAGAGCGTCCGAGACCTGGCCGACCCATCCCTCGAGGCAGGCAGCCCGGTCGAGGGAGGTCGCCCCGAAGGAGACGCCCCCCCCGGGGGGCAGGAGGGCCTTGTGCGAAAAGGAGACGACCACGGGCCGTTTCTGTTTCCGTGTCCGCGCCTGTTTCTCTGTAGTGGTGGTGGTGTCCAGAGCGGCAACGGCGTCCGAGAGCTTGCGTACCAGCAGGGGATCGTCGGTCGCTACAAAGACGAGCGGCGGGAGGGAATCGGCAGCGGCATTGGCAGCGGGGCCGTGTGGTTGTGGTTGTTGTCGTCGTCGTCGTCGCTGGTGCTGCTCTTTCAGCTGGATCAACCGTTGCACCGTCCTAGACAGGTTCCCCAGCCACTCCTCCATCGGGTCTTTGCCCGCGCTTTCGTCGGCATCATGGTCCTGATCATGGTCCTGATCGTTGTCTTCGTCTTCTTCTTGGTCCTTTCCATCGTGCTCGGTCTCGGCCACCGGGTCCAGGATGGAACGGCCCTTGCGGGCAAAGTCCCCCTTTTCCCCGTTCCCGGTGCGGACGTGGACCCCCACCACGGTCCGTTCCGAAAAGGCGTGGGAAACCGCAAAGTCCTCGACGCCGGTTCGGAACCGAAACAGGGCGGCCAGCTGTTGGTAGAAGGAATAGTGCGAGGCAAGGGTCTCCCTGGCGGCCCGGTCGTCAAACACGGCGGAAGCATTCGCGAGGCGCTCCCTTAGGCAGCGATAGGAATACCCGCCCACGTCGTTCCGGAAGAGCCTCGAGGAAGACGCGGAAAAGGAATCGCGTTCCAGGGGCAAGAGCCGTGGCAACGACGACGAGGACGACGCGTTTGTTTCGTTGCGTCCCCGGCCCGCCGCTTCGAGCGTGGCATTTGCGCGGTCCAGTTCCGCTCGGAGCCTGGAGTCGAGCTCGTTCCGGACCTCTCGCAGCATGGTGGTGGGTGTTGTTGTTGTTGTTGTTGTTGTTGTTGTGTTTGTGGATATGGGTGTGTTTGTTGTGTGTGTGGTAGTGGATGTGGTTGTGAATGTGAATGTGTTGGTTGCTGTGTTTGTGGATGTGGTTGTTCCTGCACTGCGTTTCGTGTGCCGAGCAGGTCCGTGGCCATGTTCAGACCCGGCGTCCACCACCATCGGACCCACTCCGAAAAGGTACTCGAAGAGGTCCGGGAGTGGGGCACCTTGATCGTCCGTGGCGTTTTGGTTGTGGTTTGCACCGTCGGTGGGGTTCCCGCAGGTGTCCGATTGGTCGGTGCGGTCCCACTGGACCCAGAGCCGGGGGGACCGGACCCTTTGGGAGGTGGAGGCGTGGTGAAAGGCGGCTGCCTGCCTCCCGAGGCGGTGCCCGAGGCCCATGAAGCCGTGGTACAGGAGAAGGTTGTCCCTTCCGGAAAGGTTGTTGTCTTGGTTGCTGTGTACGTTTTGGTTGCTGTGCTCGTGTTCGTGTTCGTGTTCGTTGCCATCCTTCCCGCTGCCCCCTTGCTTCCGCCGCTGCTCCAAACCGAATCGATAGTCCTCCAGCGAAACGGCCCGGAGTGCCTCGTAGTAGTCTTGGAGCTCCTGCGTGGGGATTCTCGGGTAGTTTTGGTGCACGTCTTTCTGCACGTCTTTCTGCACATCTGTATGCACATCTTTCTGCACATCTCTCTGCACATCTCTCTGCAAATAGCCATAGGCATCCGCATCGCCGTCCACATCGCCACAGCCGTAGCGAACATAGAGGGAAGAGATGGTTCGGGAATGAAACCAGGCGCTCGAGGCCACACCGGCAAGGCACAGCAGCTGCCACTGCCGCTTCGTTCGGCACACCATCCCGGCTTTGCTTTCGTTTGCTTTGCTTTCCTTTGCTTTGATTCGCCTTGCCGGTGCTCTTGTTCCTTCTCTTCCGCTTTCGATCTGTGTTCTACTACGGCACACGCACAAATCGAAGAACGTACGACTACGTAGCGTACCAAGTACGGTACATACCGCATCGCATCGCATCCTCGTTCAAATTCAAAATCATGCCACTAAATTTTATGTTCCGGTCTCTGTGGTACCTTGTACCGTACTTACATTGGTATAGTAAGTACGAACCGTACCGGTGTCATTCAAAATTCAAACCCTGGCCGTTTGTTCGCGTTCCGGTTCCAATTTCCGGTGTCGTTGCGTTGGATGACGGTAAACGGAGTACGTACGTACCGGTACGGGATGTACCTTACGGTAAGCTACCAGCTGCACGCGCTCTGCACTCGTAGTCCAATCCCGTTTTGCAATCATGGAAGTCGAAACATTACAGCAAAAAAAGACGAAAAAGACTACCGTACTAGTAATGGTTTTGACTGTAATTGGTCCTCGAAGAGGAAGAGGTGGGGTCTAAGTTAGTCTGGGGGTTGGATAGGATTTTCAAGAACCTTTTCGGGTTTACCTAGGATACCGTTACCAAGCAAACACCCCGCTGTAAGGTACGAGTACCGTACGATTTCGCGATTGATTCGATTGAAATCCATTCGATTGAAATCAATTCGATTCGGTACTCTGATCGATAGACAGTAAAACACGTCTTATTCGTGTTGCATATTACTGTATTACACTGTATTACAGTTTAATATTAATACTCTTCTACGGTGCAAATCGTTTGGAGAAATAAATGGAGTCCCGCAACCCGGCTGCACCACCGGGCGTCCGTTCCTGCTGCTTCTGCTTCTGCTTCTAGTTCTGGTGCTGCCGCTTCTGCCTCTGCCTCTGCATCCGGCCGTCTCGGTTTCACCCGGACAGGCACGAGAACCGGTAGTCCTTGGCACCGGCCAGGGCCGACGACGTCACCGACGATCTCGTCGTCATCGACTCCCGGGCCATTTTCTTTTGCATCTCGACCACCCGCTTCTGCTCCGCCTTGTAGGCCTCCACCGAGGGGCACTGGAGCGAGAAAAAGAACGACGGGATCATCTCCGGTTTGCCCTCCCCCTTGAGGGCGGCCCGGAGGCAGTGGCACATCATCAGGGCGCTGGTGGGGGTCTCCGCCATCATGGTGTTGTGGACCAGCGCCTGCCGGACCAGGCAGTCGATGTCGGCGCGGTGGGGGTGGGCGCTCATGGGATCCCGGAAGAAGAGGATCCCGCCGATCCGGCCGCCCACCATCAGGGAGACCAGCTCGGCGTCCCCCCCCAGGGGGCCGGACGCGCAGGCCGGGCCGAACATCACGGTGCCGGCGGGCTCGTCGGAAAAGACCTCCCGGAGCATCGTCATGGTGCTGTTGGTCCCGGTGAGGCGGAACTTTTTCAGGAGGTTCTTGTTGGCCACCACAAACTTGCGCATGGTGGACTTCATCTCGTTGTGGGACACGAGCGCCAGGCACCGCATCTGCGAGGGGGGAAAGGCCGCGGCAAAGTCCCGGTCCATCCCCTCCACGACGCTGTCCTCCTTCAGGAAGGGGTCCAGGTCGACGGCCCTCGAGTTGCGCTGGTTCCCCTGGACGCAGAGAATGTCGGCGACCGGGTAGATCTTGGACGTGATGGCCGCGAGCATGTCCTCGTTGTCCCTCTTGGACCGGCGGATGGCGGCGCTCAGGGCGTTCGACACGCGGCTCTGGCCGGGCTTGGGGATCGAGTTCGAGTTCGAGTTCGATCCGACGGAAGAAGTGCTGGTACGGCGGCTTTTCCCCCCGTTGCGGCGGAGCTGGGCCTTGAGGATCATCTCCTCCACCTTGGCCTCGTCGTCATAGTCAAAGTTGCCGTCGTCGTCGTCGTCGCCGTCGTCGCCTTCCTCGTCGAGGCCCTCCTCGACCGAGCCGAGCTGGAGCATAATGTCGTCCATGACGATCGAGCTGCGTTGCTTCGAGTCTCTCGTGAGGTACTTGACCATGGTTTTGAACTCGCAGAAATCTGTCGGGGTGGAGAAAGGCGTGGCCGAGACACGAAAGCGAACACGAACACGAAAACAGCAACCAAACCAAACGAAAGGAAAGGAAACGAAACAAAACAAAACCAAACCAATGAGAGCGTCAATCTTGTCTTCTGCACCGAAACAAGACACAAACACGCCGGACGAGACATGCCATGCCATGCTATGCATGTAAAGCAAGAAAACCAGAAAGGGACCCGCTCGAATCGAATCGAATCGAATCAAACCGATTCGAGCGGTCTCGCAACACAACACAACGCAACACAACGCAACACAACACAACAAAACGCAGCAGAATTTCTGCGATTTTCATCGTGCTTGCTTGCTGCTTACCGAGTTCACCATCGCCGTCCTTGTCGAACTCCTCGACGACCGTTTCGATGTCCTCCGGGGCAAGGTCTTCCGCTTCCATGACTTCTTGGAGGGCGGAAATGAGTTCCGCGCGGCTCAGTTTTCCTTGGAAGCAATCGTGTTTGGCAGGGCAGGACAGGGCAGCACACGCGATGATAGGACACGATAGGACAGGACACGAGTGCAACGAGATGACAGGACAGGGAAACAACGTTTCGTGAGCAAGGCAGTGTGCGCAACAAGAAGACTTCACAAAGAGATCGGGAACAGGAGCGCAGAACGACACAAGCCCGCACCGAACCAATCACCAATCTCCAACGACCAACCAAGGCAGTCGGGTTGCCGTAACGTAACTTACCACTGTCATCTAGGTCGTGCTTGTCGAAGCTCTCGAAAACCAGCTTCCTCTCGTCTTCCAGGGCTCTTTCTTCAGGCGAAGTCATCGTTTGAGTGTGATGTATGGTGCGTGTGGTAGGAAAAACGTACGTGCTAGGAGAAATAGCTGGGGATCCGTTGAAAAAAACCAAAATATCAGATTGTGTGCAGTGTGTTTGTTTCCAGCGGAATTTTGAGCGATTGCGTTTTTCCCAAAGGCAAATTCTTTCGCGGGCAGACTCATCGTAGCGATTCGGTAGCACAAGGTACTAACCGTTCGCAAACCGGCTTTGACGACAAGGTGTTGTGCGCCACGTGTGATTCCTTAGTACTGTAAATACAATAGCACTTGTACCAGAGTTCTTTGCGACAAATGGTATTTTTGGACCAGTCCTTCGCATAACCAGTTGCATTGGCAAGAAGATTGTGAACTTCTGTGATTTTTTTCAACCAATGCTACAAGAGTGACAAGCAGTACCTTAATATCAATATTATTTAACACCGACATTATGGTACGGCCTGTCACCTTGTAGCACTAAACACAATTGATAAATGGATTGTAGGAATGCGAATCCGAATAGTTAGTCGAAGAGTTCAGAATTAATGATCGGAGGTTGGTATTATAAAACGGTAGAATCATGTCATTTACTTATCGTCATCTTCACTGGCACGTGTTTTCTAATACAGTGCGGTACCGGTAGGACGACAACAAACTTTGAAACGACCTTTTCGAGGGTTGTTTCTGTTTGGATCGGGCTTGAGTAGACCGGACGTATGATTTTGATTCGATAATTGTGGTTCTTGATTACTTATTGTAATTTTGAAAGAATGCAATGATCTACTTTCGTTAAACAATACTGTCATGATATTTATAAGTGTTTTGAGATTGCTTAAATTAAAAACGTTGATAGATTCAATTATATCAACACTCTATCACCATGAGCTATGTCCCACTGCACTAGTCTGGATATTCTTGGAGGTTCTTAACTTACTTAACGTCCTCAACACGTACTTCATGTATACAGTATTGACTACCTTCTGCGTTAGTAGTTTTTTGAAAACCGGGTCTAGATAAATAATACTGTACATCACTAGAATAATTTTCTGCCTCAACCAGTTCCCTAAATCATTCTTGGAAGTACTGTACGATGCTGTACTCAGTGGTACACAGTTTTCGTTGTTGAAATCAGACCTTGATGGAAAAAGATACCGCCAGCTAGCCACGCCAGCGAGATTTTTTCCTTCTTCAGTACCGTGGAGAAGAAACACTGTAACAAAAAAAGTTCGTACTGTAATAAAGTACGTACTGCACTGGTAACTGAAAACTCATGTCGATCCAGTTGTGAAATGCTGATAGGCTCCTTAGTGTACTTGGTACGGTATGTCTAATACCGGCAGGGGTCATAATTTAGAGGGGTGTGCAACGCGCACGATTTTCAGCATCAGGATGAAAAAAATTCCATTCCATCCGTGGTACCAATAAGAAAAATTTCCCATAAACTTTTTTTTTCCATTTTATTTTTACTGCATAATACTAGTAAAACTATTCAACTTGTGAGTAGTCATAACTTTATCAAAAATACCACTATAATAATTTTAAACTATTGCACCTATACCAACTTTTTGTGAAGATTCTGAA